GGCTATATTCTGGGCAGACCGCGCTTGGCCCGTACCTTGAACCCCGGCCCAGCACGATACGGACCTTCGTGCTGGGCCTAGCACAGCTCGTGGGCTTTTGTGCCGTGTCGGGCCGCGGGCGGCTTGGCCCCATTTACACCTCTAGATATGCCGCCGCCGCACTAGTTCACTCTTTTCTTCGATTGAACTCTGATACACTGCCTCCGCTCATCGCTCACTGATACTCTCTTCTTTGATTGAACTTTGATTCGCTCACCGCTCATTGATACGTCGGAGCTGGTTCACTCTCTGGACGAAATTCTGATATGCTGCCGCCGTCGCATTGGTTCACTCTCTTCTTCGATCGAACAAAGAGATGTAGCCGTTGGACAGAAGAGACATGAGGTAATCGTTGGACAGAGGAAGATGAAGGTAAAGTTTTACATCGATTTTATCGATATAAACTTTCCACTGATTTTCAATGAATATACTGACAGGAATGGACTTTTACACCAATTGATGAGGTATATTAACACCTTTACCAAATGCTGGCAAAATTGAACCGGGGTGTAAAGTTTACCCCGGTTCTCATTTACACCTCTACCAAACGCAGCCTAAGAGAATTTCACCAAAGATTTTACTAGATTTTTAATAGGATGATCGACAGGTTGGGCCTGGCCCAACCTGATGGTTGAGGGATTTTAGGTAGGACTTGGGTTAGGGTTGACTAGGCCGGGCTGAAAGACATGTTATTTGCACTAGTACAACCCAACCTAATCCAGCCYGACTTGCACCTCTAATGAGAAACATTTGAAATCATCAAAGACTTTGAGTTCCCCTAACTCAGATTTGTATTCCTTTCCAACTCAGTGGCTAGTTGCCATATTTAAGGCTGTGTTTGGTTGCAGTGCAAATTTATTTGCACTAGTACAAATGCATGGGAGTGCAAATGAAAAAAAAATGCAAATTGTTGTTTAATTTTGTTTTGGATTTTACTTTATTCTGCTTCATGTCTTAATTTAATTCATTTGTACTGCAATCAAACAAAATAAGGTAAACTTTAAAACAAAAATAGGTCAGAATTTACACTAAAGTCATTTGCACTGCCATGGTTTTGCATCATTATAAATTTATTTGCATTGCAACTGGTGTTGCGCAATTTGGTCACTCCCTGTTGGATGACAACTCGGAGGCYAGGCTGGTGAGGTTGCCTGGCCGAGCTGCAAGAGAAGAATATCAGAGTATCTGAGTTGCTTTACTTGGGGTGAGCACTCTGATGCTTAAGTCAATGAAGAGTTGTGAGAGCTAAAAAGCGAGAATGCAAGAGAGCTATGAGTGCTATGTTGCGTGTACCTTTTCTGAGGAATGGGACGCCTTTATTTAGGTGCAGGTTGCCGTGGGCTTCACATAACGCATCCGAGATCACTGGCCTGTCTTGTTCGGAGGCGATTTCACGCTTGGAGACAAACTCCGCATAAAGTGATAATGCTTATCCAGTTGCCTTTGAAGCGGGCGGGACGGGAGTTTGTTCCATCAACGTGGCRACGTGATCCTAAAGGAATCAAAGACCATGACCCACTTGTGAAGGAGGTCGCCTGTCACGTCGTGCAAGTCTCCAACCGGTCCTTGGTCAAGTTAGCGGAGGCAGGTTGCCTCTTATGCCGACCTGATACCTTTCGGGGGCGTCTGCAGGTCGGCCTACTGAGGTGGGGTCGAGGAGGTCCAAAGTGCTCCTGAAATCAATGTTCACATGGCACCAAGGTGTCCTATGACGGTTGTAGGGTACCATGTGTCACGATGTCACTAGAGGGCCAAATCACCTCTCATCAACAACTAAACACAGCCTACGGAAAATGGCTCTACCAATTTAGAACTCCAACCCCTCTCGCTCTCTCCATTTGCAAGTTTAGTTTCAGTGGTCTCAAATCGGATTAAGTTTGATCCATCTCTAAATGGTTGAACATACATACATCCAAATCTGACTTAAATTAAATTAAATTTGATCCATCACTAAACCTAAAATCATCTGATTGGGTTAGGCTTAGGATTGACTCATCTCAATCAGTGGTAAGCATGGTACAAATTGAACCCATAAATATTTGATTGAACCCAACCCCCCATTGTCACCACCCCTAGAACAAAGCCACCCATGCATGATTGACCCTACAGGCCATTACATGCATGAAATGAGATATTAGTGGTTTATCAATTAGCACTGGGCTAGTGCGGACGGACCAGAGGTAACGGACCAGAGGTAACCCTTCAACCAATAGTCTTTTTCCCACGCCATTTCCATGACATTTCTGATTTCTCATAGAAAGATTGATTCTACCGACAAAAGATCTTTGGTAGGCAGACAATTTATGATAGAGTGCAGAGGAGCAATAAAAACAGAACAAGACAGAAGGACAATTCACCTAGAATGGAACAAATTTAGGGAGGCCGACGGTGGGTCGGGTTAAGCGGTAAACCCACCTTCACCCAATCTTATCGGGTCGGTTCAGGTTACTTTTACTTGGTTTTCAGGTCGGGTCAGGTGGTTGAAAGTTGAGACTGATCCCCCGCCAAACCCAGCCCGTTGACATGGGCCACTGGAAAAATGTAAAATACCCTTCATCAAGAAACAAGAATAGTGCTGTTGGGTCGGGTCGTGTTCGGGTGACTGGACTACTGAAACCCGGCCGACCCGTTGACATCCCTAGAAAGTAGAAACAGTGATAGCCCGATGCTGTCTTCTGATAAATCTGAACCATATGAATGAATCTCCCCTCATTCAGCCATGGATCTCCTGAAAATTACTGCCAGAGATAACACAGACAAGAATCCGTGCGATGTTACATCGAATCGTCTGATCCATGCTACCGACAAAAATGACTGTTTGGTGTGGATAAATTCTTTTGATTTTTCTCTGGAATGCAGTTATGCTGATATATTTATTACGTATATATAGTCCAATTGTTATGGATTAATAGTTCTTATTTTCTCTAATAAGGGCCTCCTTTGATAACAGCTGACATGGCTGAATTAACTGAATGGCCTATGACTTTGCCTTTCAGTGGATAAGTTGTTTAGGAGGGTTGAGCTCCTTAATGGCTGAAATTGAAATTGGGTTTGTTCACTAAACATTTGAATGTTTCATACTTTCATTATTTAATCATTTATCCACTAAAACAAAGCAATAGGTTATTCAGTTCAGTCATTTCAGCCACTATTCAGTGACCCCTAATAATATATAAATTATAAACAGAAAAAGACTCTTCATCTTGCCATTTTCTTTTTTGGATGCTTCACATCTCTACTGGCTCTGATAGCGAGATAGTGACCCACAAAAGGTAGTTTAATATATAGTATGCTTCCTATTAATTAATCTCTTATTAATTTTGGAAAATAAATTACCTAATTTGTATTGTAATCTCTTATTAATTTTAGTTTTTATTCTTCCCTTAATATATAAAGTAACAATAACCTGAATTCTTCTTAATTTTTCCCTTATTTCAACAATCTCATCTAATCAATTTTTTTTCCCTTTTCTTTTTCAATTTTTAAATGTTCACAATTTTACCAAAAAAAAACAGGACAAATGTGTTAATCCTTGAGATCAAATTTAATTTTTTTCACTATTTTTTAAGTTTCCTTTAGGCTGTGTTTGGTTTGAAGGAAAAAGTAGGGAAAGGATGGAAAAGTTAAGAAAACCTTTACAAACCTTGTATAAGTTTCCCTACCTTTCCCTTCAAACCAAAGATAGCCTAAAGTTTAGAATGACTTCAATTTTCAAGTTTTGTGCAATGTACAGATCTCTACAAATCTAATAAATTAGATCATTCCAATTGATAGATCACATCTTGAACCATGTTGTCAGAGGGTTAAAATAACTTGGATCACTCCCGATAAGATGTTGGATTCCTCATAACAATGAGGGAAAAATTGGRCTCAAAATATTACTAAAAAAGGGAGAGAATCACCTGTTCATCTCCCCTAAACAGATGGTGCCTAATAAAAAGCATCGGATTCTCAGAACTCGACTCATTTGAGGCTATTCTGTGGACATAGATGTGAATGAATGCCCTCCATTTTGAAAATTTCCTCTCCTTGCCTTTCTCCTCTTACTTCTGATTCTCTACAACCAACCCTCTCTCTCTCTTTCTCTCTCTCTAGGATATAATCATATACATTCAACTCTTCAGCACTGCATCCTGATAAGAACCCCACTAATTCTTAGAAACATTTCGAGGCCGAAGCTAAGCTTAAAAACAATCTTAACGATGCAAAACAAGATAGGGTATATACATACATACATATATACATACATGTTGCATGAACCCATGCAATCAATTATACGTAAATTATGTTAATCCATCACCCATGTATGAGCACACATGTTTGTTTGTTTGTTTGTTTCTTATGATTCATCATCTCTTATGTTCATGTCCAGCCCCTTAACGACAAGAGACAAGAAGACAGAAACGTGTATGGTGGTCATGAGTCCAGAGAAAATGGGAGAGGGAGAAGATCAAGAGGCGATTATCTTACAACTCCTGTGCGTTCTCCAAGTATCCAAGCGCTGATGATCACTTCTCCTGCACACCTCTACCTCCAGGTCCTCTACCTCATCTCTCTCTCTCTCAGAGTACAGACAGGAGTAAGACACCGACACACGGCCCTAGACCTCTCTTGACAAATAATAACACGGGCCGGCCGAGAAGCACCACCCAAATCATGTTTTCCTACACCACTACAGCTCGGAGAAAACCTCCACCCATCGAGAAGCAGCTTGAATGCACTCTGGAGGAGTTGTGCCATGGATGTGTCAAGAAGATAAAGATTACCAGAAATGTTGTTACGGATTCTGGGTATGTCGTCTCTTTGGATTATATATGCCGCTCGTCCAGTAATATTTAATGTAATTGTTCCTGATCTGTGTTATTGCTGGTCTTCTGTTCAATTTCTGTTATTTAATTTGGTGATCAGATCGATACATGGCTAAATTCTTTTGCATGAATCTGGATTAATTTTCTTAATTATAATGGAATGACTGCTGCATCTGGGTCACTGGTATTCCACGATTTTATGAATTTTTTCTTGAACAATAATCTGGATTTTTTTAATAATGCAATGAATGGTGCATTTGGGTCACTGGTATTCCATGATTTTATGAATTATTCATTGAACAACTGAGCCTATTATTGCAAACAGGTTGATCAGCAGCAAAGGGTTACGGTTTATATATCCAGAGCCTGAAAGCCAGAATTGGTACTAGTTGAGAATTGGCCAAGTAAAATAGCTGATCCATTATGGTAGATTATGAAGTTCTGACACTTCTTAAGATTTAACCTCGCTTGATTTGAAAACCAATTAATTTGCTAATTTTGATGGCTTATAAGCTAGGCATATGCTCTAAGCATCATGCGCTTTGCTTTGCATTAAGAGTTTAAAACATTGGAAACCTCTGGCCGACAAAGCACATCAGAAATATATATCTATTAATTTCAGTTTGTTTTACATTGCAAATTTTGTTAGTGCTATAAACTTGCCGACACTGAAATGAACTACTTGCCGACAATGCAAATCAATCCTACAAAGAGACGATAAATCAGAAATTATTCTCCAGTTATAATTAAGCTCATCTACTTCACTCTTTGTTTAATTGAAAATTCACCCAACTCCCTCAAATCATCGATTGCTTATCCCTGTTGGAAAACCTTTGAATGGCAGGTTCTTTTTAACTTCTGTTTTCTTGAATCATTCCCACTGCAAAAATCAGGACATATCTAATGATCGATCAATGCATTTTGGAGTACCTCTACATCCTTTAAGTGATAGCATTGCATTAGAAAATTGGGTTTCTATCCCTCCAATATTGCACCTTTAGGGTTAGATTCATGCTCTTTCTTCTAATTTTAATCTTCTGGGTTCTTTGTTCCCACTTTCAATTAAGAGGTTTATTCACAATACTGTATAGACTTCATTTACAATCTTCAGTTTCTTATCAATATCGTTTATATATAAGAAGAAACCCATTTAATGGAATTGCAGAAGCTATATACCCCAATAATAATTACATAGAAATCGATCGATGCTTAGTATTATTAATACAATCCCTACTGTTATAGGTCTTGAATAATTTAGATGCTGATGGGTTCATGAACACATTAACTTGTAGCCTCTCCTTGATTGTAGTGGCGTATTTATTAGTTTATTGTCTGATGATATTGACTTTCTTTCTAACGTACAGGATAATTGTTCAAGAAGAGGAGTTGCTTAGGATAAAGGTGAAGCCGGGATGGAGGAAAGGAACAAAGGTGACATTTGAAGGGATGGGTAATGAGAAACCAGGGAGTCTCCCAGCAGACATCATCTTCTTGATTGCTGAGAAACGGCATCCCTTGTTTAAGAGAGAGGAGAATGACTTGGTATTGGCAGTAGAGATCCCCTTAATCAAGGCTCTCACAGGTTGTACCATTTCAGTCCCTCTCTTGGGTGGGGAAAAGATGAGTTTGTCACTGGACGATATCATATATCCTGGCTATGAGAAGATCATCCCAGGCCAAGGCATGCCTGATCCCAAAGAGAAGGGAAGGAGGGGAGGCCTGAGAGTCAAATTCCGTATCAATTTTCCTACACAGTTGAGCAGTGAGCAGCGCTCAGATATTCGAAGTCTTCTTCAAACCTCCTCATGATAAATCAAATTAAATCTGCCTAGCTTGCTCTATGCTTCTAGCTTTTTCCTTACTGATATTGATTCCTCATCCAATGCCAATACTCAAACCTTGAATGTCACTGTACCATATACATAGAAGTTTTATATAGTCATCATAAATTACTGATATATGTACAATTAATGTTTAGTTTTGCTTTCCAGAAACACTACAAAGACAGCTAGGGGAGTTAATTCTTGATATATAGAAAAAATATCTAAGCATTATTAATTTATAGAAATTTCAACTTTTGAAAGGTATCAGTAGTTTAGATTTTGAATGGGAGATGGATTTCTTGTCTTAAGAAAATGGTGAACCACTCTTGTATATTAATACTGGTTAGTTAGAGGGATCTTTAAATAATTTAATTATATTGATTTCTAGGTATAAAAGTTCCCCTTGGGCATGCCAATAATTATGCATTTTGATGTGAATTGCCTTCTTCCTTTAAAGCTTTGTGGGGGAGGGTGGGGAGAAGAGGACTGCCACTAATTTGGTTGAAGGCCACAAGAACAATGCATGGGAGATGCATACAACTTTTGTTGGAAGGGTTAGAATCCATCTTATAGATGGACGAAGTATGTTAGATGGCTGGGTGAAATTTCAAAAATTTTCTAACCATTATGGGAACCAATCTCTTGGTGTTTTGAAAAATTGCATTTCTCCGGGTCGATCTTGCACTGAACCGGACTGGATTTGAAACCAAATCAAAAGGGAAAAATGTACTTGATACGGATACCATAAGCGCAGATCCCAAGGTGAAATTTCACACCCAAATCAGTCCTAAAATTAGCCTCCACTGAAGATGGCAAAATATATAGGTGAAGTCGATTCAACAACACTATTTTCTCCAAAACTGCTATACAACTTACTTGGATCAAATGGGGTGAGTGAGCCTTATCTTCCTCAACGTTTTTCTTGCAAAAACTTGAAGAAAAACCAATCAAAATTAGTTATTGTAAGCCTAGGTTGAATTAGGGTTTCTTGGAAGACAAGAGAGAAGAAGAGAGAGCAAAAGTGAAAACTTCTAGCCTAGTTCGCCCTCTTCTCTTTGTATCTCCTTATGGAGCACTCTCCTAATCTAATTAGGAGATTATCCAAACCTGATTTGAATTTGGACTCTATTAAGAGATAAACCTTATCCTCTTAAGAGGATAGGTGCTCTATACCCAATACCAAACCTAGATTCGACCCAAAGCACAAAACAACTTAAGTTGTCATGTGACAACTTAATTAATATTATTAATTTTGGGCCTTAGCCCCATTTTCTTCAAAGGTTTACAATCCAAAGTATTGCATGGCCACTTTAGGCTTGATATTGTATGGCATGGGACCCCACATTGATCTCACACAAGCCCACATGGGTTTGGACAGGGCAATGGACCCTTGACACAATCAGCATTAATCCAATTTGGGCATAACATTTACACCTAAATGATCATTGGATTCAGTCACCCTATGAAGACCCAAGGATAATGGACTCATGTAAGACAAAGACTATTAGGAATTAGCCTTGTAATGGTCTCTTATTCCTAACCTCTTGGCCTATAATGATCAAAACACTACCCGATAGGGAAGGACCTCTCCCCTAGATGCAAGGTGCAGTGCCACACTCTCTGCTCGGATGGATCTCCAGATTAAAACCTTTTGCAAAAATTTTTCATAAAATAGTAGTGTATATAACATATAAATACTTTTGCAAAAGTAGATTTCAAACACAGGTGAAATCCAATGCCGACAGTTTAGGTTTCCATTAGAGAGAGTGTAAACCTTGTCATTCACTTTGTCCGACAAAGGTGCCGATCCTATCACTATAATCACCCACTCAGGTGAATTCTTAGACTGTCCCAACATACCTAGGTATTTGACCCTTAATGGATCTCACTAGTTGACATATCAAAGATAACCCAGTCCAACACCTAGTGTAGTACCATAATTAAGTTTGAGGTTATGTGTAACTTTTCAGTTTTATCCATCTATCTCTTAGGTCCAGGGCATAGATAGGAATTGGTCCAGGTTCAGTGCTTCTTATAAACACTCATTGGCTATGCTTAGGGTCTAACCCTAGTAGCTGAGACAAGCTGCTTTAACTCCTTAGCAACATACCAGTGTTAGACTTGTTAGGATAAACTCCCTAAGTTTATCCAATGGTTGAGAACATTCTAAACTAACACGACTATCTTAAGTATCTAGTTTAGGGGGTAATATATAGAAACATACCAATATTAACATGAAACAACATTGTACTTTATTCATTTACAAATAAATTCTTATGTACATCAATCTGATTGAAGCTAAAGGCATACATTGTCTAACAACTCCCACTTGCACTTAGGTCCAATCAGGCATAAACCTCAGTCCCATACTATCCACGTGTTCTTCAAACACTTTCTGTGTTTGTGGCTTAGTTAGTGAGTCTACTACATTCTCCGCTGATGCTACCTTCTGAATTTGGATGTCAGTTATACCAACAATCTCCCGTAGAACCAGTGTTGTCACACAACAATGGAATGGGTGATGTGGTATGACTCCAAATTCTTGGACGAATTTCATCATCCATATTACTTATTTGTCAGCCTCACTTACTAAAATGTATTTGGCCTCGGTTGTGGACTACTTTTCTAATTCATTACACAGGATCCCAAATGTGTCCAGATGTAGATTGTTTATTATCTGGATCAGACTGGACTATATACCCGACCATTTGTAGTGAAATACCATTGAAGACAAGACAATAGTCTTTAGTCCTTCGTAGGTATTTTAGTATGTTCTTTACAATAGTCTAGTGCTCTTGTCCTGGGTTTGATTGATATCCACTCACAATACTTACAGCTTAAGCAATGTTTGGCTGAGTATACAACATAACATATATGATGCTCCTTACGATAGAGGCATATGAAACTTTTATCATGTCCTCTATTTCCTTTGGAGTCTTAAGCGATATTCCTTTGGAGAGAGTGAATCGAAGTCTTAAAGAAACAAATCCCTTCTTGGAGTTCTACATGTTGAATCTTTTAACAATCTTGTTAATGTAAGTAAAATGGGATAATTCAATTAACCTCTTTGATCTATATTTATAGAGTTGAAGTCCTAAGATGTATAAGGCTTTTACAAGATCTTTCATGGAGAATTGTTATGAAAGCCATACCACCGTTGTGGTTAATATTCTTGCATCATTCCCAATGAGTAGAATGTTGTCTACATATAGAACCAAGAATATAACCTTACCTTTCAAGGTCTTTCTATAAACACATGGTTCATCCAAATTTTGGTTAAATCAAACTGTTTGATTGTTGAATTAATCTGGATGTTCCAACTTCTAGAAGCTTGATTTAATCCATATATGGATCTATTCAGCTTACACACCATGTATTCTTGACCCTTGACAATAAAGCCTTTTGGATATTATATATATTTTCAGTAAGATCTCCATTCAGAARCGCAATTTTGACATCCAATTGTCAAATTTCATAGTTGTAGTGTACAACTATAGCTAATAGTATCTTAATGGATTTGAGCATAGCCACAAGTGAAAAGATATCTTCATAATCGACTCCTTTCTGAGTGTAACCTTTCACTAAAAGCCATGTTTTATAGGTCCCAATCTTTCCATCAGGACCCTTCTTTCTCTTGTAGATCTACTTGCAACCAATTGCTTTTGCCCCAAGGGGTGGGTCTATGAGAGTCCAGACTCTGTTGGTTTTCATCAAGTCTTTCTCGACTTTCATAGCATCTACCCATTTCAAGGAGTTTATGTCTAAYATAGATTCCATATAAGTCATGGGACAATTTTCACTGTTCATTGCTTAATTCCATCAAGTAACTTTATTGATCATAGCAAAAACGTATAGGAATTAGATACTTAAATAGATCTTCTAGGCTAGATATTTCCATTTTGAACTTGTGGATTAACTCCCACTACCCCTAAGCCCTCATCATCAAGAATGACTTTCAAATGATGATTGTTCAAAATGTGGTCCTCTTCTWAGAAGTGGGCATTTTGACTAACAAAAGCTTTTTGTTTTTGTGAGTTATAGAAAATATACCCAATAGAATCCTTGGGGTAGCATATAAATAGGCAATGACTTATTTTGGATTCCAATTTGTCATCACTTGTATTTTTAACATGTGCTAGACAACCCTATATTTTCAAGTGTCTAATACTTGGTTTCTTACCAATCCAAAGCTCATAAGGACTTTTAGGAACCGACTTGGTTGGAACTCGGTTCAACATATAGATCAAAGTCTCTAATACGTGTCCCCAAAAGCATATGGGTAATTCTGAGTGGACGAGGAGTAACTGGACCATATCCAATAAAGTTTGATTTCTTCTCTTTGATACACCATTTAATTATAGTGTAGCAGGAGGAGACAATTGTGATATAGTTTCATTATCCTTTAAGTAATCTTTGAATTTGCTAGAGAGATATTCACATTTTTTATCTGATCAAAGAATTTTGATTTGTCTCCCCAATTGTTTCTCGATTTCATATATGAACTTCTTGAATTTTCAAAGGATTCAGACTTATGTTTCATTAAGTACACATAACCATTCCAAGAATAGTCATCAGTGAAAGTTATAAAGCAAGAGTGTTAGTTTCGTGTTCTAACATTAATGAGACCACATACATTAGTATGTATAATGTCAAGTGTGCACGTATTTCTTTCAGGYTTACTTATAAATGGCCTTTTTGCCATCTTGCCTTGAAGGCAATGTTTACAAGTTGGTAGATTTTTTATTGTGAGAAAATATAGAGGATTATCCTTCACCAATCTTGTGATATGTTCTTTGTTTATATGGCCAAGTTGGTAATGCTACAAGCATGTGGGATTAATCGTTTATTGTGTTCTTTTCTTGGGGTTGTGTTCTAACATTGTTTTGGTCACATTTTTTTCTAGAGAAGGGTGAAGAACATAAAGGCCATTTTCAAGTTCTCCGTGAATAAGAAATTTGTTACTCAATTTAATTGTAATCTTATTACTAAATAAAATAAAATAACCATCCTTACAAAGTTTAGAAACTGAGATAAAATTTCTTCTAGGTAATGGAATATAAAATATTTCAAAATAATAATCCCTTCTCTAAAAATTAATTCTACCATTCCTTTAGCAACAACTACAATAGTTGTAGATGTCCCTAAGTAGAGCACCACCTCATCATCATTCAGCCTTTTTCTTTCCTTGAACCCCTGCAATGTTTTACATGCAT